TTTTACAGAACATTAAATATGAGAATGTTAGGGCTAGCTTGTAAAATAATTAATATATTATCTCACTAAAATATTTATACTAATAAATATTTAAGAAAAAAGTACTAATTTTACTTAATCTTGTTCACCATATAATATTTAATTATTATTTTATTATATAATAAAAATATTGTTAAATAGTACAATATAATTGTTATATAATTTTTTATTTACAATATGGATTTAATATCTTTTTATGATTTAATAATATAACTATAATATATTCTTAATGATATAATAATATGAGATACAGATTTACATAATACTATAGATTTATTCCTTAATGTTAAGATATTGAATTATGTAATATATGAACACTAATTTGTAATATGTATCTTTTTATATTGAAAATAATTATGTGATTGAGTAAAGATAACAATTATCTATAAATTCTTCATTTATGGAATAATTTTTAAATTGATCCAAGTGTTGAATGCAACTCGATTTTCTTGTAAGTAAAATGAGAAGAGATTTTGCATTACAAATTTTCATTCAAAACCACACATAAATTTGGATGCAAATTTTATTAAAAATAAATTCAACAAAACCCATAATTTTAGAACCATTTCATGCTACCCTATTTTATGATTTAAAAAATCTAAAAACTTTCTAAATATGGTGTGCAATTAATTATGAGTTCACTTTTTTCTTATTAATTTTAGTAAATTGGGCGACTTTTTATATAAACTAGTACGTACCCCGTGCAATGCACGAGACATAAATATTAAATGAATTATTTTCAGACGACTTTGTTCGTTTAAGTCTAAAAATCAATAGGGTTATCATATATTTTTCACTTGTATATTAGGGCTAGCTTGTAAAATAATTAATATATTATCTATACATATTTAATTCTTTTTTATTGGTTATACATATTTATTTTTTAATTTGAAATAAAAAAATATTTGACCCGTTGAGTATTAAATCAACACTAATTAATTTATTAAGCAAGCTAAGACGCAAAGCAAGACAATTTAATTATCCAGCAATTTAGGTAATATATAGTTATTTCTTTTATTAAACATGATTTTTAAAAATAAAACAACATCAGCCCCAAATAATAGGCAACGTTCATGGTTTTGGTTGAAAACCAATATAACAAAATCTTTAATTAATTGGTAGCATTTAATGCTGCATTTTTTATTAAAAAAAAAAGAAAAAAAGAAAGTTACTAAGAATGGAATGTAATTAATGCAAAATGATTTGACCAAAATTTAACCTGCTATTTTTGAAAAATGGTAAATTTTTTTTATATATATAAATATAGATATAGATAGATATTAAATCACAAGACCAAAAGTAGAATATTGGAATTTTGAAACTAAAATTACCATGATGTTAAACTAATAAGACTAAAAATGTATTTTTCCTTTATTATATTGTCTTTATGTGGAAAATGGCTAAACAATGAAAACCCGGCCTGTATTAATATTATAAGACTATTTCCATTTTCATAGCTATTTGGCACAACAGAGAAATCATTTACCCAAATCAATTCGCTTTAGGTTTTTCTCGAAGCTTTTCTAAGAACGACCATGGCCGCGCCGGCTGTGTCTGGATCAGGTCTGTTCAAGTTTCTCCGTTCCGGCTCGCGAATTCAGCCCACGGACGTGCAGGCCGCCGCTTTCTGGGGCGTCGCCGCCGGCACCACCGCGCTCTGGGTTGTTCAGGTACCCCGCCGTCCACATCCGTCTTACAAATCTCGTTGTTTACTGGTGCCTGCCTTCGTTGAATTAGATATTTTTGTAATGTTTTATATGGAAATATTTGATCTGGGCTTAGATCTTGCATCGCATTTCATTTGAGCTCTTTGTGATATTGCGAATTCACGATTCACTCACTCAGACACACAAAGAACGTCACCTTGGAGTGATTCGTGGTTTTTGTTATCTGTGATTCAAGGTTTTAAATAGCGGGCTAAAACATTTATGGCACTGATAGCGGAGCTATAGCGGAGATTTAGCGGGTTTTAGCGGCTAAATTGCACATGAATACAAATAGCGGCACGCTGGCAAAAAAAGCTATTTCTCAAATAGCGGCAACTTTAGCGAGCTATTTATTTCCTTGCTGTGATTTGATGTTAAATATTTTGTTGGTTCATATGATTTCGGGAAGGAACACGTTGAACAAGAGTGCCAGAAATAAGGGTAATGAAATAAATTAAAGGTGCGAAGACAGCTGATAACAAATTTATGAAAGTGGTTGCTCAGTGACATTTAAGACTTTCTAAAATCCGAGATTTTTTTGAGACTATGGGGGTGTATTTGTTTGGCATTTCTAAACAAATTTATGACGGTTGCTCGGTGACGTTTAAGACTTCAGAAATTTTGGTGTATTTAGACTTTTGAATTTACTTTTAAGACTTTTTAAGAATTTTAAGAATCTTGAGTTATTCATTTGGAATTTTAAAAAGTCTTACAAAATCTTGAGACATTTAAC